AAGAAGAGAAAGTAATGGGGAAAATGCACAGAAATGTAACTGCTATTAACATATACACGTAACAAAAATAAAGGGGCTGGGGTTTAACTCAGCAGCACAGCGCCTGCCTAGCAAGTGCAACGTTGTGAGGTCGATTCCCAGTACCGGAAAACAAAACAAAACAAAACAAAGAAAAGAGTTCTTCATCAAAGTGGATTTGGCCAAACAAGTCATGCTATACTCATACAATACAATACTAGGACCCAATAAAAAGAATAAACTATGGAGTAATAGGGTACAAAACACCATTGTAGTATATCCCCATTTATGTAAAATCATTATGTCCTTATACATACGTTCATAAAGAAGTCTAGAGGAATGCGCTTCAAAATGTCAATGTTGATCACCTCAGGTGTTTGGATTCAACTTTTCAGCATTAACCGAAAATGTCTACTATGCGTCTCTACTGTCTTTGGAAACAAGTCAAAACTAGGTAATCAAGAGCACTCTCAGGCCGGGGATATAGTTCAAAGGCAAAGTGCATGCCTGGCAAGACCAAGGTCCTGAGTTCGATTCTCAGTAGCAAAAATAAGTAAATAAATAAATCAATAAATAAAAGATAAAAAGAGCAGCATCAAAAAATATAAGTGACTCCAAGAGTTGAAATACTTTAACCTTAGATAACTGTGAGTGAAAGTGTCTCTATGCAACTGAAAGTAAAGAACCCAGGAGGCAGGTAACCAATCTACACTTTCAGTTCTTCACTACCCTTTCATTTCTACTTTAGGACAATTCCAGTCTTTCCCTACATTTATCCTTTAATATAAATCCAGTTCATCTTCCTAATATGTTAATAACATAGTGCAAACATGAACTAATAGAAGTTAAAGATAGGCTAACAACACTAGATTCTCCCACAATTTAGACACGTAGAAATTGAAGAGCAAAATCTCTCCAAACAAGTAATCCTTGATTCTAGATTGATACAAAAGCAAAAACTTTCAACACCACTCCAACATTTACAAATCTCCATATACAAAACAAAAACACCCAAACCAAAAATAACAAAACAAGTACCAGAAAAAGCACCACATAAGGGAAAAGATTACAAGTATCTTACATTTGGTTATTAAGCAACATTCACTCCCAACAGATTTTTCAAATACAGCACAATTTTTTAGAGTTGGGAAATAAAAAAAATATAATCTATTCAGAAAATTTCTACCTTAAAGAGTAATTCAAACTCGCCAACAAAAACCAGATTATTTATCTTGACCAGTACAACATAGTGCAAATATACACAGTAGGTCTGAATTTATTCCGTTTGTGCTGATGTGACTAGCAGCACTCTCTACTCACTGTAGTAACATACAAGCAAGAAGCAGGAGGTTCTTAAATTTCCTAGCAAATAAATCACAACAATTATTTCCCCAAACCTAGAATATGTATGAATGAAATCAGCAAGTACAGAAATCCAACTGGTATCTGTGCAGACTGGCTGCCATTACCCTGTAAAAAACAAAATGTATTTAAACTAAGGAAACCTCTAATAAAAATGTTAGGGAAAAAGTCCAAGATTTAAATCTCATTGTTCAGGCTGGGGAGCCAGCTCAGCGGCACAAACACCTGCCTGGCAAGTGCAAGGTCCTGAGTTCGATTTCCCGCACCAAAACAAAACACACACACAAAACACTAAATCTTATTGTTCATATAAACTACAAATTAGGACTGTGTGGTACAGATCACAGGTGGAAAGCTTGCCTGGAGAGCTACATGACCTGGGTTCAAGCGCCAGCACCACAAAACAAAACAAACATAATTGAAGACAAAAGAGCAGCCTACATCGTCAGAAAAAATTTTTTAAGGGTATTCAAAATGCTGAAAAATGATCATGGAATAGTAATAACCAAATGCATTACATTTTAGTGAAACACATCACTAGGTGAGGTGACCACCTCTCACAAATGTTACCAGCTGAGGACCTATACGAAACAATACTAAGAACACGTTCTTTCAAATCAGCCCAAAATCTGAATCCAAGCTGACCTTGGAACAAACCACTTAACTTTTTGGAGCTTCTGTTTTTCAATCTATCAACGGGAATGTTTCCAACTAACACAAGGGTTTCGGGGTAAAAGCATGTTAGGCATTCATCAATGCCTAGCCCACAATCAAACACTACAAACACTGCCATTCTCTTCCTTTCCTAAGTAGTCCCTCTTTTTTTGTATCTTACACTTACTATAGGGCTAACCAGTATGATTATGTGACTTTGCACACCTTAATAATCAAGTAGTAAAGGAAATACGATAAGTAGTCTACACTTGGGGAAAAGTAAAGCTAAGGGGCTGATGAATGCGTAAGCTGAGGACTGAAGAGTAATAAAAATAAAAGCAACTTATTAAGTAGGAGTCACTAAAATGGAGAGGATTTATTCCAGGACACAACACCCAAAAAAAAAAATACTACCAAGGTTCCAATACTGTTTTGAATGCATGCGAATTTCCTTAAAATTATCTACACTGATAATTCATTAATATGTAAACTCTATGGGCTGGAAAAAGATCACACTGCTATTTCCCACAGCACAACATATGGTCTATATTAAATACTCTCTTAAATAAAGTATGCAATCCAGATCCACAATAATAGTGTGTATGCTCAGAAAACTACACCATTCCTTCATTTACCTATTACAACGATCTATTAAAAACCTATATATGGTCAAATACACCATGGTGCACTGGAAAATCAATGGTGGACAAAACAGGCCAGATGCCTCCATGGAGTATATAATCTGGCAGTTTATTCCTGAAAGAACATAGGCTACTTACCACAACTATGAAATTCTAGAAGTAAATAAAACTTTGCATTAAGTTGGACATGTGAGTTCAATCATTGTTCCTAAACACTGACAATCTTAAAAAATTTTTCAAGTTTCTCAATTATTTTAGCTGTTAATTCTGGGCTCCACATTTTAAGGATGTACGATATTATACAATGTAAAATAAAAACAAAACCCGAAAACCGTACATTATAAAAAATGAGTTTTAGTTGTCAATAAGACTCAGAAGACATGGCAAATGTCTTCACACTTGCTGTATACTATTCCAAATTAAACTTGAAAGTAACAAGGAAATGGATTTGTTTCAACATAATGAATTCTAACAATTCAAGCCAGTCAACAATAATTCGACCATCTTAGATTTCTGTAGGCCTATAATATCTTACAAAAGACAGACTTTCGTTTACACAAAATAATTTTTTTTTTAAATCTCCCTATCACAGTTTAGAAAACTGAGGCTTCAAGAATTTTACTCAGAAACTGGGAAGCCAGTACCAGAACTCGAATCCAACATCTAATGGAACAGGCTGCCTCACAGCAATCTGCTTCCCACTTCTAGATGTATTCAGGCATACACCAAATGGCCATCTGTCAGGAATATTGGCCAAGAATATTCAAAAGTTCTTCCAAACCCAATCCTTTCAAAAACACTGGTGGTCAATACACACACCAAGATTCATTAATGACCGCTCCTTTAGATTTTTAAACTTCAAGTTCCCTGAGGACAAGGACTCTACCTTTCTTCCCTGCTATACTCCTGTCCTTAAAACATTTGAGTGTAAAAGTGCTCAAAAATTATTTGTTAAATATGGACAGTCCTAACAATACAAACCACTACTACATAATACATACATAAACACGTATCACCATTATACAATAAAGAATTTTGCTTAAGTACCTAGCAACTAGTAAGTACAAAATCCATTCTTAAAATTGCTATCTAAAAAGTCCTGACACTTAACCTAATGAGTTTTTACAAGACACTCAACTGTAAAAACTGAAAACCATTTGGTAATCCTAAAATACCATAGTTTAAAGGAAAATATAACACTTGTAAATGAAAACGCGAAATTTGAAGCTGTCGATGACATTCGTTAGGTGTGCTTGAACACTGTAAGAATGAAAAAATGTATAGATCTTTTCGTTTAAATACAAACAGCGATTTCTACTCACATCTTTACGGTTACTGGTTGACACTTCCAAGAGCGCAAATTTTACAGGTACATCTGCTGTACAGTACTGAGACTTGACAGAGCCAATACCCAGAGGTATTCAGCAACCACTTGGCATTACCAACACCAACGTGAAAATAACAGCAATCCAAATGTTAAAGGCCCAGAATGGCCAGATATTTTAAGACACGTAAGGACCTACAAAAACCTACAGCATACTCAAGTCCGTTTTAATTTATTCTTGCTTAACGGGTATCTCCCAATATACACGTTTTATGGAAAATACCACTGTACAAATAAGCAAACCCTAACAGCTACGTAAATTCTACCGCAATTTCACCAGATTAAATTATACCCATTGATATATTCTGAACGAAGATGCTAATATAAAAAAGTCTAGTTAATTAAACGGTGAGCAGTTTCAGGTTTACCATACGAGGACGTACTAACGCATTCTCTTACCCTGTGTCGCACCACCTGGATCTACATTGTTACCGACAAATGGATGTGATCACAACCCAACAGAGAAACCACAACCTCGTCATTTTTCCTACTTTTTAAAATGAAGCCCTCGCAAGGTCAGATAAAAAGCGATCTCACACAACAGTACCACAAAGTCACTCCTCATCCTCACAATCTGTTACTGTCAACCTCTGTTTCAGGGTAGCTCCCCTACTAAAGAATACATCAAGAAAAACCGCTTTTCCAGTTAACACCTTCCATCCACATCACACTGACATTGGTCCCAGGCTGACTACCCTTCCACCACCTCGCTCCCTGTGCTGCTGTACACTCCTAGACCAGCAAGGAACCTGTTCCTAAAGAGCTTTCAGAATCAGGGCACAGGGAGCCACCCCCGGGTGTACTCACGCCGACCCGGCTGGAGAAAAGCAAAGGGCAGACCGGAGAGAGCTGGTAGCGTACAAAAGCAACAAGTCTGAAACTCGCACTCTCCCTTCGCCGCCTCCCCGACCCCGGAGGGGTGTACCCGGAATCCAACTCACCTGAGCACCGGGCTGTAGGGGCTCCGCGAGCGCCGCCAGCTCCCGCCGCTGTAGGGGCTGGGGGACACGTCGCCGCCGCGCTCGTACGAGGACGCGCGGCTGTAGCTGCGCGAACGCCGGCGGTAGGGGCTGGGC